ATTATATATTATATATTTATAGTAAATTACTATAGAAATAGGGAAAAACCCCTATTTCTTAGTTAGGAAATCCCTAGCTAATCCTAGTAATATTATTAGTAAAGTTACTATTAGAAGTGGGGCTAATTCACCGCCCATTCCCTGACAATTCGCCATAGGGCAACTGTGTATTCGCCGGCTAATTCACGTGTAATTCTGCCACATTTAATAGAAGTATAATAGTAAAGCAGTAAGTAAGGTAACACATCCTTCCTATAATCTATTATAGATATAATCTTATATAAAGATACTACTGTAATATTATATTTACCTTATAATCTAATATTTAAAGAGAGAAACTAGACGGGGATCCACTAACAGGGTCTATCTGCACTTAAAGGAATAGAGCTCCAAGAGTGTCTCGACCACAGGATCTCTCACTGCATCTCCAGGGGCGACTCCTCAGCTGCAGTAAGCAAATTACTCCAAGTTATAGCGTCTCTACTGGTTTTCCGCCTAGCACTACCCGTTTTATGCCTGCAATCCTTCACACGGCGTGGATCTGCAGTGAGCACCCCCCCCCCCCCCCCCCCCCCCTGGTCAGACAGCGGCATTTCCATATTGCAGATCACATCGGATGCCGTACCGTGTTGCCGGTGTTGATGGAGCTCGATCGCCTCTATTCTGCTTCAACGTATACCTCGCCACATGCAACATGGTTGATCCAAAATCTCATGGACAGGCTGTTCTCGTACCTCGCACCTATCCCACTGCACGCGCCTGCGCCTGTATCTTCGACCTTTCCCTATCAACCAATACCGCCTCCACCTCGGCCAGCAGGTCTGGGTTGCGGTGCTGGGGTCCTACAAACTCGCGCATTACGTCTGAAACCAAACGAAGCGCGCGCACCTGCGTTGCTAGGTCCGGCGTGGCCGGACCGTGCTGCACAAGCCACAGATGCATTTGAAGGGCTGAATTAATAGCCCACGCCGACAGCGGTCCAGCCTGCCGGAACGTCTGGGCATGGCTGCCGATCTCCGCAACGTGTATATTAGTCAGTAGGTCCGTTGAGGCCGCCATACACCGCGAAATCGCCTCGCCCGTGATGGCGATCGGCAGTTTCTCCTTTGCCGCCTTGGCGATCGCTACGTGGTGGAGCACAATTTCCGCGCCTGAGAGATTGATGGCGATGATGAGGGAAAGCGCCTCGTAGTGCGCACTGTTGGATGTTGGGATGTGGGCGGCGAGACAACCTATGCGGCACTGTCCTACTAGCCTGTCGATGCGGTAGTGATTGTCCCAGAATGAGTATGAAGAGTCTTCGAGAGACTTCTGGATGTGCTCAAAGACTCGTCGATAGAGAGTGGCCATCACTACTACACCAGCGTAAGGTGGCAGTTGATGGCTCTCGGGGGATTCGAGGACCTCTTGGACGGTCGGCATGACAGGAACCTCATCGATCATGTCCAACTCGCCGGCGCAAGGAAGACGAAGCACAGTCTATGACGGCAGTTGTTAGTCTAGTTGTGCTTTCGAATCCTCGGGAGCTTTACGAGAAAGGTAAATCACATACCTCATCCACAGCGGGCGCAAACTTGGTTCTCATGCTCGCAAACGTGTCCAGCACATACATCTGCCAAAAGGTCCGACGCTTCTCCTCAGCGTTGAATGGACAATTGGACCGCGGCAAGCACACACGTAGCGAGCGGCACATGCCAGAACGCGGGTCGGCTTCGCCAAGAGCCTCGAAGGCGTTGAAATCCACATCGGTCCGCTCCAACCCCATCAGCTTGGCCAGGCGAATGGCGCGCCCCAGAGTCATCCAAGTTCGTGCCAGGTTGGGCCGCTGCAGTTCGTAGAATGCCAATAAATTGCACGCCTGCAGCGTGTCAATGCTCCGCAGGCCCGCACCGTTATCCTCCCGCTCGCACATGTCGAGCAGCCCGCGCGCCTGCGTGTAGAAGCTGTCGGCAGGAATCGTCACCACCATGGCATCGTCGCCAGACTGCTGCTTTTCAAACGGTGGTTCGCGCGCGAGGGATCCCAGGCCAGCCATGGCAAGGGAAAGGGCCTGCGCAGGCACGAATCCCGGGGCCTGATCGAGCTCTTCCACAAACCGGCGGCGGTGGACCATGGGGAAGACAGGATTGTGGACGTCAAAGTAGGTATCATGCCTGCTTACGTGTCCCTAATCAGTCAAGCTTTCAGAAACCGCATCCGTGTCATCAGACTTACAGTAGGGTCAAAACGGCTTGCACATCCATATCACTTGGAGTTTGGATCCGGGTCCCTGCGTCGCTGCTAGCCGTGTTTGTATTTGTAAGCGAAGCCGGACTTGGAGATACGACGGCGGAGAGGTAGAGAGAGTTGGTCGTCGAGGAGGGCATCATTCCTGACAAAAAGTCAATGGAGTCAAAATCCATTTTGCCGAACATGGAGTCCGAGGCGTCGCTGCTGTCCTGTAGATTTGCCCTAGATCGGGGTTAGAGTGTTTGCTTTGCCAACATCAACGGCAAGCCTCACCAATCATCAAGCATTGCTGCTTCCGGGATGCCTTGAAGCATGTAGGGAAGAAGTTCTTCCGTAAGCTCCTCCGACTGTCCCGTATCAGAAATGGCCTGGACGGGATGTAACGAGGACGATGTGGACGCCAATATCGGCGCCGAAGAGGGCTGGGGCTGCGAATCGACAGCCAGTTCAGACCATGATATATTATTGAACTGATCAGCCTTTTCGACCACTGGAGATTGCCCGTTGTAAGCGAGTCGGTTCTCTGCTCGGCCTGTTCGAGCGCACCATTAGCAAACCCGCCACGAATGGAGAGGTAACCCGGGAGCATCAACCTAATCGATTATGAATATCGAGGAGAAGTTTTGTTAGATCAATCTTGGTGAGAGACGGCTTCGACGGGCCCGCGTAATGGCACCCAAGTCCCATCTTCGAACACCGACCGCAGGCGGGATGTGCGCGGTCGCAGCGGACCTTGCGACCTCGGCAAGGGTTGCATGCTAGCCGCTTCATCGCGCTCGTTGGTCCATCATTTCCTGTCAGAGCGGCTGGTTGCTCTTTGCCGCTGCTGCCTTCGGCCCTTCTGGAGCCGTTGTTGCTCGATTGCTGCTTCTCAGACGAGAGCAAACTGGCGTCGTTGTTCATGTCATGCCACGATGTCATCTTAACCATATTTGGCCTGTGCATAAAGAGATGGAGAGCGTGAAAGTCAACATGACAAAAAGAGGGGAAAGGATATAGGGTCCTACTGGAAGAGTGGCGACTTTTGCCGTCAGCTTGATCACATAGGCGAGGTGGCCTAGATTGCAGCTTTTACGAGGCAGGGCGTAGGGCTGCTGTATGTAAGATAGCCGACTCGGGTCGGAATCCTTCATCAGCGTGGGGGTAATTACCTATATGGCTTAGTGCCTCCAACTGTTCCACACTCGTCTGTTAGCTGAGCAGCACGCATCGGGTGGCGCTAGTGGCGTTGAGCTATTGAGTAAGCTGACCGAGTGAAGGGCAGGCTGTCGAGCTTTGGTCGCAGTGATTTGATCTTTGGGCTGCTATTAGACAGAACCCGAGACATTAAGCTTATCGTCCAATCCTCAACGGCTACTTGCTTGGGGAGTTTCCGAATGCGCCGCTACAAGCGAGACACTGTGCCTGGAGACGGGGTCTACTTATTGACGAATGAGGGGTTAAAGCCTTGGAAACCCGGCGGCTATTTGCTTCTTTGCGTGCGGGTAAACTGCTGTTTATTCACCACATATGGCTATATACCCGAGCCAATCCCCCTTTCCATAACTTTCAGGCCCCAAGTGAGCAGCTAAATCTCACTTTGGAGCGCAAGAACGCGGCACGGATGCAGCTACATACATGAGATCAAGCCAACCTGAAAAAAGTTCAAGAACCCCAGTACACAGGCCGCCGAGAGGCGTAAACTAAGTGGAATTACCCATCGGACCACCTTCAAGAATCAAGCCCCAGCGGCTCAGCATGCCCCAGAAATATCACACGCAATCTTTTCCGCCAATGCATACACCGTTGACTGAGGGTGTCCAGGTGGCAGCAGCGGGAACGCCGAGGCATCAACCACCCGCAGTCCCTGAGCGCCATACACCCTGCCTTGTGTGTCAATCACAGCCGAGGGGTCGTCCTTCTTGCCCATAGCACAGGTACAGGATCCGTGAAAAATGGTCTGGAAGTTTTTCCGGATCGCCGTCTCAATGTCGGCGTCAGTGACTACCTGAGCGCCGGGAAATCGCTCCTTGCCGACCTTGAGAGGCGTCAGAGACTTCTGTTGCCAGAACTCACGAGCGCGCTTGAAACCCCCCACAGCGACGTCGACATCGCTTTGAGCCGTCAGGAAAGCCGGGTCGATGAGCGGATGTATGGCTGTGTCCGTCGAGACGATTGTAACAGACCCGCGGGAACGGGGTGCCACCAAAACCACACCCATCGTTGCATAGGCAACTCCGTCCTGTGGATCGGCTGTGGAAATGACACTCATGTTGCCCATATAGCCGCTGAAGGCCATGTACTCGACCTCGGGCCAATCTGCGGGGTAGGCGGCGAGGGCGGCGATGGAGCTGTTGTGCCAGCTGCTCCTTGCGCTCCTGGGAATCTTTTCCCAGCCGAGAAGATCAGCCGCTGGGCTGGTGAGCAGACCTTGTGCAGGGAAGCCGTGGTAGAGGTCGACTTGCTGCGCGGCGAAGGACGGATTCCCCATTGATGAGGCAGTGATGGCGTTGATGCCTTGAGAAATCCCGAATACGATATGGTCCTGCATGCCTTGCCCTACGCCCGGAGCATCGACAACGACAGGAATATCAAGAGACTGAAGGATCTTGGAGGGACCGACGCCAGAGACTTGTAGCAGCTGTGGGGAGCCAATAACACCGGCGGACACAATGATCTCCTTGCGAGCGCGGAGGGTGAAGTTTGCTCCGAGCGACTCAACCTGGACCCCTGTGGCCGTTTTGTTTCCATCGAATATTATCTTTTTAGCGTTGGTCAGAGGGTATAGGTAGTACTTGGTATTACCGAGCGAGCTCTGAAGGAAAGATGTCTCGGAAGAGGACCGCAGCATGGACCCCGCATCAATGGTAAACATCGCGTACGCCTGGCCCAGTAGTCCACCGTTCTGGAATCCTTCCTTGCGGAGGCGGATGCCCATCTGGCTGAAGGCCTTAGTGGCCCAGGTCGGGAAGGCATATGCCCAGTTTGGGAAACCCAAAGACAGTGGCCCGTCGCCGTGGCCGAGGGCTGAGTGACTGTACTGAGGTGTTGCATTGGCGGCGCGCAGGTCGTTCCTCGGGGGTGTAAAGTTGAGGCTCTTCTCAAAGTAGGGACGCCAGTTGTCCCAGGCATAGCTCTGGTCTCCAACCTGGTCTGCCCATTTCTGATAGGCCCCAGCTGTGCTGCGGTGATACACCATGAAATTTCTGGCCGAGCTTCCGCCCAACATCCTGCCATGGGGATAATGGAGAGACTGATTAAAGGCCCCCTAAGCAACAGGTCAGAAAAATGTGTACAAGGCGAAAAAGGAACACCTATATGACACGTACCGCTTGCGGCGTTGTTTGGTAGCCCCAATCCGCTCCAGGCTGCCAGTCGGAAGCATCCTTGCCCACAAATGCAGTGGCGAAACCGGGTATCTGGCTCAGGTTGCCGTTGGTAAGGTGGTAGAAACTGCCTGCCTCGACCACAGCAACACTACCAGCGTTCTGCTCGACAAGTCTACTCGCTATCGTAAGGCCGGCAGTCCCGCCGCCCACAACGACATAGTCATATGTTGCGTCGGCGCCAGGGATACCAAAGGACGATCCCAGTAGTCTTGCTTGCACAGACGCAGCCAAGAGGGCCATCAAGCCCACTGCTTGCTGTTGAAGTCTCATTGGGCGATTCGGGAGCTTTCCGCACGTTCAAAGAGTGTTTATGAATCAAGAGAAGTGGTGCTATAATATGCGGTGCGACTCTGCAATGCGCTTATGTCGTACCGGTGATACCTCTGGTGATGGGATCTCAAGCTCTCTTATATTGGCGCTGAAAACCTGAACTTTATACATAATTCATGGCAAGACGATGATATTCTCGAGCGTTGCCCATTCAATGTCCAATTTCAATAGACGCGGACGCCGCGGTCCGTTTACGCCCCCAGATCATGGCCTATTTCGCAGCGCAGGGTCTGGAGTCTTATCGACGGAAGGAACCAGGGGGCGAAGGAATCTGACATACAGGATGGAGGTGCAGAGGGAAAAGAAACTAAACAAGAAGCACAAAGAGCGCAGGCAGAATACTTTGCTCGGATAACGGGATTCAGCTGGGCGTCATTTGCTGGACTGCGCCGTAAAGTGCGCCCGAAGTTCCGCAAGTTGCTTCCAGATTTGGAGAGCTTAAAGGCGCAGGCGACGCCTCCAAAGCACATTAGCGAGGCACCGGGCATCATCTGCTCGCTTTTGCCGTAGGATCACGCCGAAGGACCGTACCGACTGCCAAATGTAGATGGCGTGGGGGGGCTGAGGGCACCAAGGCCAGCCCTATTGAAGTGTAGGAGTGAAAGTCCGACCCTCAGCTGCCTGTCGGGTGTAAGCAATGGTCGCAGTTGTGTGTCACCTTGGCTGAACGGCTGTGGCCAGACCGGGCATCTGGTCTTTGGCTATTCTTCATCAGCTGGGACCCATGCTACATGCTTGCTGAGATGTGCATCTAGGAACGTATTGATGGAGCATAGATGGCAGACCAAACGCAGGACAGCACCGCCAGGTCAGAAAAAATGGAATTTGACTACATTGGGACCGAGCAGAATCTGTAAACGGAATCATCTTTACCGTGTAGGATCTAGACACGCCAAAAAGTCTGTTGCTAAACTAAAATTTCCATCAAAACCTAGACTATAGCGTTTTCGATGCCAAAAGAGCTTTTTCTTTAGAGAGGCTACGAGTATTCCCAGCCTTTTCACTATGGCTGGTGAAGTCTAGTACCATGGCTCAGAGGCAAACAGCTTCGAGGCCACGGCAAAAGTTAGAAAACATTTTGACGGATAATAAAAAAGAGTTTCGAAAGAGTATCATTCTTAACGTTCGAGCTCACAGTGCCCCATGTTCCATGAGCCAAGACGGAATTTTCAAGCGAAGCAGAGGTGACCATGTAATCTGCATTACTACAAACTACCATTTCTACAGTAATGGAAAAACTCTCAAACTCCATAAGATACCTACGACTCTTTCAGCTACATGGTAATGACAGCACGGTAGCGGACGTTACCGCTCAGCATCGCGTCTAGAAAACCGTCAGTAATCTTTCATCACCAATGGTGAAAAAACCTACCAAATGCCTCTTGAACCTTGTCCAGCGGCCAAGTCTGAACAGCAGAGTTCAAGCCGTTCAGATGCGCAAAGTCGACAGTCTTTTCACACTCATGCGCCGTGCAGGTAGGCCACACCTGAACAGAGACACCGCGCATCATCATGTCGTGGGCGTTGAGCGTGATCTCGCCGCTGGGAGGGAAGCTAAGAATAAGCATCTTGCCGTAGATGCCGACACCTTTGATGAGGGGCACCATGGCAGCCGTGTCCATGGCAGTAGTGAGCACGAGGTCAGCGCCACCGAGCGCCTTGAGGGCCTCGCCTGCGTCTCCCTCAGTCGCGTCGATGTACTCGTGGGCGCCGAGCTGACGGACCGATGCCTCCTTGTCGCGGCCGCGAGATACCGCCACGACGCGATACCCCATCTTGCGTGCGAACTGCACCGCCATATGGCCCAAGCCGCCCAGCCCCTGGACCGCAATGGTGCCGCCCGGGGTGACGTTGGCCGACTTGATGGCGCTGAAGACGGTGGAACCAGCGCAGAGGATGGGAGCGAACTCGACAGCATTGGCGTCTGCAGGAATCCTGACGGCTGCCTTGGACTGCACAAGGCAGTATTCCGCATCTAGGTGTGCGAGTCAGTAGACCAACATCGAACGTGCAAGAGAAAGGAGCTACTCACAGCCACCGTTCTTGGTGACACCAGTGACTACGTAGGGCTCGCAGAATTGGTAGAGACCACTCTGGCAACTGAAAATGAAATTAGCATTTTTGATGGTGCGAGTGAGAGAGAGAGATATACTGGGCACAAGTGCCGTCGTGACCGCCGTGCCAGGCGCCACCGATACGGTCCCCGACGGTCCAGCCGCTGACACCGTCGCCCAAGGCAGCGACCTTGCCAATGATTTCGTGGCCAGGTACCATTGGGAAGCCAGCACCCCAGGCGTTGTACTTGGCGAAAACATCTGAGTGGCAGACACCGCAGGCCTCTACCTTGACTAGGATCTCCCCGGCAGCGGGGAGCTGAAGCGGGACCTCCTCGAGGACGAGGTCACCCCCGAGTTCCTTGAAGGAAGCCTGCTTGTAGGTCTTGGGAAGGGCGGAAGAAGACATTGTGACTGATGAAGTAGTGGTGTTGATGGAAGCCTGGTTGTTGGATTGTTTTGGAGTGACTTGGATGTTCTTTTCACCTCGTGTCTGATGAGGTGGCTTTGAGGACGTAGCAAAGAGAGCTTTGATTTGATTGAGACAGCCCATTGCGAGTTATATCAGGTTGAGATCCCTTGTTGAAAAAGAACTCAGAAAGCAGAGAGGTATGTACTTCCATGATTAATTGAGTCACGAACGGGCCCAGCACGGCTGGCAACCATGTCCGGTGCTGCTGCAACGACCCGCAACACCATGCGGGAACGGTGTGCGCGCGCCGCTGGACAGTTACACTTGCTGCATGCCTCTGCTTACCAACTCACGTGATGACTTATTACTCATGAGTAAGCATTGAGGAATGCCTAGATGGGAAGCCGTCAGATACTGAGCCTCGCCATTGTTGCGTAGCATAGACGACGGAGAGGAATACGTGTTTTGCCGCAAACAGTGGTTGCCCAATCACTGCGGCCATTTTGTTGGTGCTATGTCTCTGCTTACCCCACCGCGGTCCGCGCTGTCCGCTTTACCCAGGGGGTATGCGTATAAGGCGGCACGCAGACGACGGATAGCCCTGTGCAAGGCACTACTGAGATTACTTAGGTATAATAGGGGGTCGGTAGAGGTCGTTGGAACCATATCGGTATCAATAACGGGAAAATGATTATTTGCGCAAATTTTGTTGTTTTGTATTGAAGTTGGAATAAGCTAATGCGCCCCGTTTCTCTAGTTAAACTCTAATGGTAAGGAGATAACTCAAAAAAGTGGACAGACATGAGAGAATATTAGCGTCAGATAGTATTGTAGTCAGGTCACCATGTAATTTATTAGAGGTCAAAGTTTATTTTAACATTATGTCATCATCACTTTCTACACAATGCCAATGATATAAAGTAATTACAGCGTTTGGTCCAAGAGTGGCTAACCTGCTCATTCCATTTAAGCAAATATTAAAACCGAGAGATTAGACAAAACCTCGGACTCTACCCTCATCAAGTCAATCGTCACGTTCTCGGCTTGTTGATGCTTAATCTCTATATTTCCCTATGTTTTTACATGCAGATTGCTGCATCAGCAATAGTGATAATGGTCTACGTTTGCACTTGATCTCCACCGAGCGTGACTTTTATCCGACAACCGTCGGCGCGTCACCAACGCCGCCAAGCTTTTTCTTCTGCGAACATGTCAGTTTATCATTATGATTCCGAAGTCTCCAAGACTTACATTCAGAGCAAATCCGATTAAAAAGACTACGGCACTGCCAAAGAAGGCCGGAATGAAGGTTTTGCGCAGATTATCCACAATGACATCAATTACCGCGGGAAGTAGCTCTTCTGGAACGGCGTGAATAGCTTCGCTTGATTTTCCTGTGGCGACATGGTCAACAAACTTTACCCCAAGGAATGATAGGCCGGCGAAGGGCTGGCAACTCACCACTTAAGATACTGTTCAGGTCCTCGACAGGCAAGTCTGGCAGTAGGCGGCGCAAACCTGACAATCCTTCGTTGACAAAGACGGCACCCGAAACGGACAAAGCGGCGGTGATGCCAGTATACTGAGCAATCATGATGAACCTGAAATAGTCAGTGAAAACTCTGACTTGACTCAGGCGTATGCTCACGGGACACCCAAGCCAGCCTCATCCGGAGGAATGACTCCATGGATAACTCCATACGGCGTCTGGTTACAGAAGCCGAGACCAAGAGCGAGGATAACCTCAGCACCGTATATGTACCCAGCGGAAGTATTGGCGTCGATGCAATAGAGCATAACATTGCCCGCCAGTGACAATGCTCCGCCGGTCACAAACCAGTGCCAGTAGTAGCCGACCTTGACCATGAGAAGTCCTTGCGCCAGGTTGGCGAAGCTGAAGACGATAATCAGTGGTAACAGCCGGACGGCAGCATCGAGTGCGCTATCTCCCTTGCTGAACTGAAAGTAGACTGGGATGTAATAGATGGGAACGAAGGCCGCCGTATTGGAGCAAATGGTGGAAACGAACAAGAGGGTAGACTCCTTGTGCTTCAGCAAAGCAGCCGGAAAAAGGCGATCGGACAGTGTGGTCAGCCACGCAAAGTGCTGTTGTGCTATAAAGACGAGGAATCCGACGATACCCACCACAAACAAGGCAATGGTACTTCCGCTGTTCCACGCGTAGAGGACGCCGCCTAAGTTGATGCCCATGACCAAGCAAATGGAAAACCCAGCAAGCAGCACGGTACCAAAGAAATCGAATTTGTACAGCCGTTGTCGTCTGGTCACCGACTTGGGCAGTGGATCAAAAGACGGCAGGACAAATATGTAGATTGGCATAAAAACGCCGCCGATGATGAGGTTGATGTAGAACGCCCACCGCCAGTTAAATTTGGCAAAAGCGCCGCCAATGACGGGTCCCAACACGGTGCCCACGCTCCACACTACACCAGTGATGCTGAAATACTTGGGCTTCTCCTTGGCGTCCGTTGACACGGCGATGAGGGTCATGATGCCGCAGTACATGGCGCTTCCGGCCACGCCGAGCCAGACTCGACCGACAATCATGGATTTCATATCGGGCGCGGCGCCGCAGAGAGCCGAGGCGCCGAGGAAAAGCACGGTGTTGATGGTATATACCCACTTGGCGTCGAACTTTGCATACAGCTTGCCCATCGGGAGGATGCCGACGTAGGCACCGGCCATGAAGCCGACCGAAAGCCAGGGTAGCAAGGCCACGGCGTTGAACTGATTGGCAATGGCTGGCACCAGGTCGGCAGTGATTGTGTTATCCAAGGAATAGATGAACATGCTGGAGTAAATGGCGCAAAGGACTAAAACCCACTGTGGCGCCGGCACGGGTTAGCGATGTCCCAAATTGGAAAGAGACGGAAACCATGCTGACTCTGATGCCTCGAATTTGACGCCCGGCAGGCTGGCCCGAGGAGGCTTCGTCTATCGAGTTCGCGTGCTTCTCCATGTCGGAGGCGCTCTGTGAATTGGGAGATGACATGATGTTGAACTGAGGGTCCGTTTCGGAAACAATGCTCGGAATGGTATGAAAGTCGTGTTGATGCCAAACGAGTCTGATTATGATGTATGTTGGAAAGAAGGTTGTTTGAATGAAGCGGAATCGAATCAAGCTCTCATGGTACCCGTAGCTGTTCGATACCTGACAGAATCCCAACCGCAAAACCCGACGATTCAGGAATGAAATTAGGTCTTTTCTTGTTCTTCACCATTGACGGGCAATAGGCTCCCCGGACAGCATTGAGCATGTAAGCAGCAATTCCCCAGGGAGTCCCCAACTGATACCCCATCCCGTCTCACATAATCCGGCTTGGTGCATTGGAGAGCGGGCCGCTGCGGGCCGCGCTTACAAACGGGGTGGGACTGGATTGCGACTGTAGGAACGGAAGCGAGTGTCAGCCCAGAGGATTACGTACTCATACTCTGACGGACGCCACATCCCGTTTCATAGTTGAATATGGGGTGGCGCACTGCCATGGCAAAAGAGACAAAACCATCATGTAAAACCATCCCTTAGGAAGCCCGGGATCATTCCCCCGTCTCCTCATTGAACCCAACGGCTGCGATTCGTCGTTCATATTGTCACTCCCCTTCACCCCCTCCACCTTGGCCTAGTTCGTCAACATCAACATGGGGCTCGAGGCAACGGTTGAGGCTCAGGAGAGCTTCCCCACCACCCAGCCTGCTTTTCGTTTGACGGTAGTGGTCCTCCTCAGCCACACGTGGAATTTACACTAAGACACTACCCACGCAGAGCCACTTCAAGGATAAGCACCCCTGCGGCGACGTCTACACCGGCTCAACTCTGATTGGCGTGCCCTTACTTGCGGGTGGCACCGTCAAGTCCGTTGGCGACTTCCAGCCGCGCTGTAACTTCACGATTGCCAGCTCTACCGATTACTTCACTGTCGACGCAGACAAGACCCACGGTCGGATCGATGCCCAAGCCATCCTTGTTGACGAAGAGGGCCGTGCGGTCCGTCTCCGCATCGATGGTGTCGTTGCGCTGAACGAGCACACGCTACCGCTGATCCAGAACGAGCCAAACGCTGCCAACTCACCATTTGGCTATGGCGGTAAGTTAGCTTTTGTCACCTCTCTGTGCATGCTGGCCGACTCACAATGTTCAGTTGAGTTCCTTAAGTTTGAAACGGGACATGAGATGTACAAACCTCTCGAGAGCATGCGTTTTGCCGGAAGCCAGCGATTTGTGTACTTGGACGGTGTTCGCACCGGTGTCGAGGTCCGCATCTCGCGGGTTGTTTCAGGCACTGGAGAGGCCTAGGCTGCAATTTTCTGGCGTTTTGTATATTCACAATGTGCTCATTCGCTGCACTGAGATAGAACTCATTATGAATTGGTTATCAATCATGAAATACAATGATGAATTCTCTGGTCATCAATGAGACATTTCATTCGATTTATTGTGAGTTGAATGCGTCCATAGAATTGGTTTTGACATCGGACAAGTTCGAAATTGATAAGCAGTCAACGGGGGTTGACTCATTTGTAGCCATCGCCGCGCTGCTTAACGTAATCGAAGAATTGCGAAAAGCCTCAATCTGTCGTGGGCTAGAATGTGGCTCGAATTGGGTTGTCTCCATCCACAAGTGACTGGAGAATACGGTTACACAGTCAATACTCACTCATCATGTGCCGGTACTCATTGTACGTTTGAACTTTCCGTGATGCAACCGTCTATAATAGCCCCCTCTGGCCGCAATCTGATACATGTTTGTATTCTACGTCGTAGGCCACGAGTTATCCCAAACATAGACCGCTACCGTCTTTAATGACCAAAATCTTTCTACCATGACAAAATTTCACTGACACGATAACTCTCGCCATCTCTTTTTATGCTTGTATTTAGATCCCCTCGGGCATTAATTCTGCCATCTGCTCATCCACCTTCTGCTGCTTGATCTTGTTTCCCATACGCCCCCACATGCCATTAATTATCGCCGGATCCCTCTCAATAAAAGGCCCCTGGAAAGCCCTGGTCTTGGGCATCGGCCACTGAAGGCCACCCAAGCCCCATGGCTGCATGTTGGAGTAGATGCCCTCCCAGTGGCCCGCGGGGCAGACCAAGACTTCATGCTGCCAAGAAAGTTAGCTGACTTCCGGGAGGTGTTCAGGAAGTGAACCCACCATGACACCCAGGTCATGAGGTCGATCGCTCTTGTTGACCTGGTAAGCAAGGAATTTGAGACCCTTGATGTGAACAGGCCGCCGAGCAAAAGCCTCGAGCTCTTCAATGCTTTTCCAGTAGCTGATGGACATGAGAGTGTTGTTCTGCGAATACTCGGTCGGAATGAGATCTGGCGTTCGACCCAAGTCTGTAACATTGGGTGAGAAATATTTAGAAGGGTGCGAAAATTGAAACTTACAACCATTGGTGCGCCTGTTGTCCTCCGCATCCTTGTATATGTCGTCCATGTAGTCATTCAGCTTGCGATATTTGGGGTGAAGCCTTCCGAGCGGATGATTCGACCGGATGCCAACAAGGAACATGGCGATCGGCTTATCGCCAAACTTGATTGGCCGTGATCCGTCATTCTCAGGGAAGAGAATGCTCCACCTGTCGAGCGTCGCCTTCTTTAGATATGCATTTGGGGCAATACCGACATATTGTGCCACCAGGGTTCCAGCCCGAAGTAATACGGCGACAGCAAGCGGGAAAAGTGTGTAGCGGGCCGGGAAAACGAGGCTCACAACCGCTTGGAAGCAGGCCCCTGCAGCTAGCCAGGCAGAAAGACTGAGCTCGTCCTTGAGAAGATTGAGATTATATACGCCCATGTTGATTATTTGCCAAATCCCAACAGGGAAGAAAAGATGGATAGAATGAGCTACGGAGCTTGGTGTGGTTTCTTCAATAAACCGATTGTCCGGCCTTTAAACTTCGTGGGCCCTTCGCGGGTGCCACAGGAGCATTGTCCCATGTCTGCCTCCATGGAAACCGACGACTGAGATCTGGTGGCTATGATAGGCCGGACAGGTCCGCGCTTTAGTGCTGACAATTCAAAGTCGGGCTGCTAGGCCGAGCACGAAGAATCTGGTCAGCCTCGGCCTGAGGCGGGCCGCATGCGCGGGCCAAAACATGCAGTAAGATGGCGGGACAATGATCCGCGAATGGTATCATAGGGGTACTCCGGAGTTTGCCGCGCGAACCCGACTAACTGACCGGGCGAGAAGTGGACCCTGAGGAACACCTTACAGTTCTACCACATGGCTGCGTGCTGCAGAGTGTCAGAGCTATGGGTGGGCTGGCCACTAATCTTGCCTTTCTCAGATGCAGCCTGGCGCTAACAGGACCATGTAAGGAAAAAACTATGTGATGCATTATTCCAGTGGCATGCGGGGGTGTATGAGACGCAAGATCAAGCAGCAGAAGGTGGATGAGCAGATGGCGGAGAACATTGCGCCATTGTGCAACTTCCATTAATATCAGGGAAGACGTGATTGGAGACAACCGATCGAAACTCCAAAACGGCCAGAAAGAAGATAATCCTGCTCAATTCTCGATGTAGCTCTTTCACATGCAAATAAAATCATTTGCGGATTATTAAGAAACCCATTGTTTATGAGAAGGTGTTCAGAACTGGCTTTCTATGAAAGTGTTTTGATGCAATGAGTCGAAGCATGAATTCCGTACTCTTTGGTGTTCCTGCATGCAGGAGACTTCTCGAGCAGCTTTATAATGAGTTTCGACTATCATAGCCATGGACCTTCTTCTTCGCCAAGGCGCGTCTAAACTCATCCGTCAACCCCTTGTAGTCGCTTGGGTACTTGGGAATAAACAACTCTGCCAGAGCGTTACTCTTTCTCGATGTGTTGATCCCAAGGTCCTCGAGGAGCACGTCTATGTACTGTAATTGAATTAATTTGTAGAGTCGCGAATTTGGATTACTGGGTTTCAACTTACTGAGAAGAAGTCGTAAATCGCATACGCGTGTTTCTTTCCTTGCGTAAGGTATCTCTTTCTTGTCCATACCGTCCACTCAGCGATCTCTCGCTCCATATTGGACTTCTCTGGCAGATCCACAAGATCCAGCATGAAAGCCACACCCCAAAGCGCCTGCACCTCAGATACAAGCGGCGTGTAAATAGTGTGGATGAAACCGGGGAAGTAAACACTCCTATCGCCCTCACCAGCTAACTCAGGCACCACCAACCGACGATAGTGTCGGCTTGGTCCATGCAGGAGATTCTCGTCGTCTTGCCTCTCGGTTGCCTCGACGGGACTCTCCCTGAGAACCGGTAGAAGCTCATCAACCTTTAACTCGGCGCTGGCCTCCAAATCCGCCCACTTGGCCTTCATCATCGGATCTGAGTCCGGCACCAGGCCGCACAAGCGCTGAAGTTCCGGGTCAAACTGGTGGTATGATTTATCGAACCCGGTGCAGAGAATTATGTAATCCGTCTCAAATTCATCTCCACCACGCAGCGTGACGCGGTTGCCCTCACCTAGCGCAGCCACCTCGTCACGGTGGACGGTGACATCACCGGCGTGAAACACCTTCCAGAAGTCCGGGACGCTTGCGCATCCAAGTCCCGCGTTGGCCCAGAAGATGCCGTTGCCGATGGGCAGTGGCTTAAGCTTCTGCGCATTGGGAGACTTATCATACCCAGCGTGGGAGGCCGCGATGAAATTCACGGTCTGCCAAAAGGCGTGGGCCACGGCGCGGCCGAGAGTCGTGCGGTTAAAGAACCAATAACCTGTACCACTAGTCTTCAGAATGCTGGAGCCCAGGTGGCCCATGAGGCCAGTGGCGACAACGTCCATGGTGTTGAGAAGGCCGATTTTGGGAGGCATGATGGCAAGTGGTCCTGAGCCGTCTTCGCGGATAGCCCAATGTACCTGGATTCCTTGCTGAAGGAGGAGGAACACGGTGTCGTAGGCCGACTTGGCGGCGCCTATGACGGTGGCACGCTTGATCTTGTTTAGAGCGCCCAGATGGGAGCCCACTTCGGATGAGTGAATGATGGGTGCGCAGAAGTTGGATTTGGGCCATGAGGGAATGACGGGGTGGGACGTGGCTCCCGAGGCATAGATGAGCTTAGAGCAGGACAGAGGCGGCTTGCCTTGGAGGTGCAACTTCCATCCTCCGCCCTCCTTGTCGGGAATCTTTTCGACCCGATCTACTTTGGTGCGAAGACGAGTTCTTCGAACAAGGTCAAAGTCCCGTGCAAAGTCGTTGAGGTAACGGTGAATGGTATCTCCGGCAATGTAACCATCGTGGGTGATGCCCTCACGCTTCATGGGGTAGAAAGAATACTCAAACTGCCCGTATTTGATTTGGGCAAAAAGACTTGGGTAAATCTTTTCCGCGCTCCAAACACCGCCAATGGAGGTCTGTTCGTCGAGAATTACCAGGCTGGTATCAGGCGCGAAGTCAAGGTAGGTCTTCGCCCCGATCAGGCCGTTCCACCCTGCTGGGTGTTAGTTGCATGGGATGAGGATGGCTATGCAGGTTTTACATACCAGCTCCCACAACCACGATATCAACGCGTTCTGCCGTCATTTCTAATGAGTTGACACTTTAATTCAAGTAAGAAAAAATATGCCGAGCTCTCGAGTTTTCACGGCTACGTCAGTTGGGGAGTAATTAAGGCAACGAAATTCCAACCGTACGCAATGCACCCGTACCTTTTCAATCGTTTTTCATACAACTTCGAGTCGGACACTCCCCAGAGCTTATCATAATCAACCTCAAAAGAGAACTCGAGTATCCGTAGTTGTCAGCCTGCATATCTGTTGAGCACAAGTCGAGTCCCTCCGATGATGCATAAGCGGAAAGGTTCGCACCGCATTGTCAGCCCTGTCGACTCCGGGCCGCGCTGACCCGTGGGATTATGCGGCCTGGCCGACAGAGACAGGACATCAACACATGTGCCAGGTTTCATACGACGGGTGTTTTCCCGCAAAGTTTACCAATGATAGGATTGCGGGGGTATTAGTTACCATTCTGGGGTGGGTATCACGTCAAAAACGACACCACACGGCTTGAAAAGAGGGGAGGAACGTTTTTGTCTCATAATGCTTCGCAACCTCGAGAATCGGACGTTGTCTCTACTCTAGTGCCAGGCAACTTATTCATATCGTTCCACGAGATTTGGACATCTTCCGAAGCTTTGGGCGTTTTAAATCTCGCAAATTGCTTGTTTCTATTTTGAATTGCCAAGGCCTGAATCTACTGGAGCTAGCTTTGTACCAGATGAAAATCATGCTCTCGCACAAAAGAATCTATACCACTATCAGCGTGGTCGGCCTTATTCTTCTCTGGGGCATTATGTATACCAACGGAGGCTTACAGGCAATGTCGAACACCGCCATTAGCGGCGTCTTCCCAGATAACTCGACTCTACAAACCAAGCACGTTGGAATCTTCCCTCTCGACCTACAGCTCAACATTCTCATCGCCTTCTTTGCCTCCGTCAGCAAGCTTCATGGCGTTGATGCGGGCCCTTACATAATGCTGCTGGATCTGACCACCGCCTTGCTCGCCATCAACATGGCCGTGCTGGTCGAGAGTCGGCGCCGTTCCGGCATCTGGCTGCGCAGTCCCGCGTTGTGGCAGTACGCGTGGAACTGCGGCGGTGTTGCTGCGTTCCTACCCATATGGTGCCTGCTCTACGTGACGCAGAGGGACACCAAGGTGGCTGTTCCAATGCCGCCTGCAGATTCGCATACCTTCCCACTTACCGCACTTCTGAGTATTCTATTGGAGGCGCCACTGCTGCTACCGGCCTGGATGGGCTGGAGTTCCACCAATATTCAGATGGGTGTTGTACACTTCTTTTGTGGCCCCCCCATCTTCAGTGGGTTTCAAGCACTGGTCTCACAGATCGTTGCTCTTACCCACAACCAACGTTCAATGGCATCTTCTAAGTCGGGTATTCGAACGGCATACTTCATCACAGGAAGCATCACCGGAGTGGTTCATCTTGGCAGCATTCTGTTTATACTGGTCTCTTCACCACCAGGCTTGTCGTTAAGTAGGGTCTACTTCCCGCACAGCAACCTGATACAGATTGGGGAACCCAACATTCTTGTAGAGGCGGCTTTCCAGTTTCTGCAATACGACTACATCATCATGAATGCTACCATTCTTGTGCTTGGGACGCATTTGATTCGAACCAAACCAGGCAATTTGTTCACAACAGTGACGCGGAAACCTGGATCACTGGTCACGTTCTATGGCTTGACAGCACTTCTCGGCCCTGGGGCGAGCATGGCTTACGCGATGTCTTGCGAAGAAGATTTTTCTGATGTTTCCGGTACAAAGAAGTAGACTTGTGGATAAGGCATTTTACCTAGAACTGGTCTCATTTTATAAGTGGATACAACAATGAAGGGCGATACGAGAAACGGCGGATTCCATATACAAGAAAAAATGCCCTGATAGATATGCTGGAACTTAGGATTACTGCAGCAGAAGAGCACATCAGTCATAGCTTCATCTAGGACACCCTAGTGAAATATTACTGTTGTAGGTATTACTCCGGGTGATAATTTAGTTTCAAATTTGCATTAATCGTTGTTGGTGAAATTGAATGGGTTGCGAGGGCACAGAATATCACAACACGTTTCACACCTCATCCTATTGATGTCAAATGCTCCATTGCTGAAGTGTTGATTGAAGCAACGACTGATAAAGCGCTGCAACAAATGCTACCGTTGTTGCCTCCTTGGGCTTCTACACGACTGTCCGATGACTATCTGCGCGCGATCACGGACATCATCCGCCGAGTTTCACCTCATCACATTCAGCCTATGTCTATGCAGAAATCGTCCAGAAGGATGAAATTAAACAGATTGGTAGGATTCCCGTGTGGCCACGATTGTGCAATAGTCTCACTATGCAAGGTCGGGAATCAACGGTCCGCTTATCTGACAGCAAGCTTGATCTCACAGACTGATTCAAAGCTGACAGAACAATCCCAAATGGTGCGCACCATCGAATCCGGCTGGTACCTTCAGGAATTCGCCGAGGCGCCAAAGTATCTGTGTCAGCAGGGGAACACGGATGCCAAACACCATCCTTGCGGAATACAGTCTCGCCGAGTCTCACCGCAGAATGTCTTGTGGAGGGATGCGGTACAGGGAAGCTACGGACCGAGCATGTCCACTAACCCTTACCCGCCACGCCGCGGTCCCTGGCTTCCTAGACACGTTCAACAAAGAAACGTAATTCTTTGTTCCGTAAGCTTGTCTACTGGCTAGTCTTTATCCGAGTGAAGCTAGAGACAGGGGGGCTTACGCTGAGAATAATGCTTAATGGAACATACCGAGATAAGGGTATACTTGGAGAACTGTCTGCAGAGCTTGTAAAGTATATATAAAGAGGTAAAATCTCTCGGAAAGTTTGGATTGCAGAGAATTCAACCCTATTCAGCAGCCAACAACTATAGATAAGCTGCATCTTGAATACAAATCCGAGCCACTTTAAGTTCATTAGCCTCCAGATCCCTAGTCTTGGTCTCCTCAGAGATTAAGCTGGTACAAAATGCCCGGCATTCTCAAATCTACGTCCTCGTCCTCCCGCTCATCCGAGCAAGGGGACTCAGACGGCTCCCGAGCTGCACCTGAACGCAGTTATCTTCGGGACGACTACCCTGCCGCTTCCACACCAAACTATTCAGAGAAGCCGCTCGATGAGCAATTGGAGCCGATTGCTGTTGTCGGCATGGGTAAGTAAGTCGGAACAGCTGTCCAATCATTAGCTAACGAGACAAACACTCAGGCTGCCGCCTCCCCGGTGACGTCTCATCCGCGTCTGATTTCTGGGATATGTTGATGAACAAGCGCTCGGGCCAGAATCCCAAGGTGCCTGCCAACCGCTTCAACGTTGAGGCCCACTACCACAGAAACAAAGAGCGTCCCGGCAGTCTGCCTGTTATGGGTGGCTACTTCATCAACGAGGATCTTGAGAACTTTGATCCCGGTCTTTTCAACATTACGCCCGTCGAGGCTATGTGGATGGACCCGCAGCAGCGAAAGCTATGTGAGGTTGTATACGAGGCCTTCGAATCCGGCGGCATCTCTCTCGATGCCATCGCAGGCAGCCGGACCGGTGTCTTTGCCGCCAGCTTTACCGCCGACTGGCAGCAGATGTCCATGAAGGAGCCCTCGTTTAGGCACACAATGGCCGCCACCGGCGTAGACCCAGGCATCCTTAGCGACCGCATTAGCTACGTCTTCAACCTCAATGGCCCCAGTATTGTGTGCAATACTGCGTGTTCGTCGTCCATATACGCGCTACATAACGCGTGTATAGCCCTACGTAATGACGAGTGCGATGGCGCAGTTGTTGGAGGGACAAACCTTGTCTTCACAATCGACCAACAGATGAACACAGCCAAGATTGGCGTCCTCTCGCCCCGGGGCACCTGCTTCACGTTTGACGAGAGCGCTGATGGGTACGGTCGAGCCGAGGGTGTTGGTGCCGTCTACCTGAAGCGTCTCTCGGATGCCGTTCGTGATGGAGATCCCATCCGCGCTGTGCTTCGCGGTAGCTCTGTCAACCACAACGGACGTGTATCATCGGCCAGCATCTCCTATCCTGGCGTTAACGGACAGGCTTACGTCATGGCCGACGCGTACAAGCGATCCGGTAATTTGGACCCCATGCTCACAGGCTACTTCGAATGTCACGGTACTGGTACCGCTGTTGGCGACCCGATTGAAGTGGAGGCTATCGGCCGGGCGATGAACCACAGCCGGCGTCCCGGCGTCGACGACAAGCTTATGATCGGTGCGGTCAAGACCAATGTCGGTCACGGCGAGGCAGCCAGCGGTCTCACGGCGCTCATCAAGGCTGTTCTCATTGTCGAGCGTGGCATCATCCCGCCTACGATCGGCATCAAAAAGTTAACATCTAAAATCAAGTGGGATGAGTGGCAGGTCCAAGTACCCGTCGAGCCGACGCCGTTCCCGTCTCACCTACCCATGCGTCGTGTGTCAGTTAACACGTGTGGGTACGGTGGCACGAACGCGCACGTCATCGTAGAGGAAGCGGGCTCTATTCTTCGCTTGCCACAGACGTACAAGTTTGTCGACAACCACATCCTCTCTGGCCTCAGCAGCAGAACTCATACTCCTCGTCGTGCTGCCCACCGTAAGAGGCCTTTCCTTCTGCCATTCTCAGCCCATGACAAGACGTCTTTGAGGCAGAATATTGTGAACCACGGCAAGGTTGCAGGAAATTACAATCTTCTGGATCTTTCTTACACGCTCGGCTGCCGCCGTAGCACCCTCACGAGCAAGGCATTCACTGTGGCTAGCTATAACACCCTCGGCGACAGCTTTGAGAATATCGAATCTTCTTTCACATTTGCCGACAAGAAGCGCCCGCAGGCTCCCACCGTTGGATTTGTCTTCACCGGCCAGGGCGCACAGTGGCCAAGGATGGGTGCCGAGCTGCTCCAGTACAGCCCGAACTTTCTCCAGTCAATCCGCGGGCTCGACCGTGCCCTCGATGAACTCCATGACGGTCCGGAGTGGGCTATTGAGGACCTCCTGGTGGAAGATGAAACCATCTCCCGGGTCCACGAAGCCGAGTTCTCTCAGCCCCTTTGTACCGCCGTGCAAATCGGCCTTGTTGATCTCCTTTCTCATTGGGGTATCCGCCCTGTGGTCACAGTTGGCCACAGCAGCGGTGAAATTGCCGCCTCATATGCCGCTGGCCTTGTATCAGCAAAGGAGGCAATTACGGCTGCCTACTACCGCGGCAAGGTTACTAAGGATGTTAAGAAAGGGGGTGCCATGATGGCCGTTGGCCTGGGAGCCGAGGCTGCAGAGCTGTATCTCGCCTCGTTAGCAGGAAATGTCGTCGTTGCCTGTCACAACTCGCCCTCCCTTGTCACTCTTAGCGGTGACGATGCGGCATTACAGGAGCTCAAGACTAAGTTTGAGGCCGAGAACATTTTTGCCCGCTTTGTTAAGACAAACGGCAAGGCTTACCACTCACACTACATGATTCCTGTCGCTAAGCAGTACGAGGTGCTGTTCCAGGAGGCGAGGAAGAAGAGCTTTTTTGACAAACGCGAGAAGACGGCTTCTTCTAACATCAGGATGGTTTCATCTGTCACCAACACCATCTTTGACGAGAATACAGTTATTGATGAGACCTACTGGAGCGCCAACCTTCAAAGCCCTGTACTCTTCAACCAGGCCGTTCACACCATCCTGAAGGCTGAAGAGTTCTCTGATGTCGACCTCCTCATTGAAGTCGGTCCTCACTCGGCCATGGCAGGTCCTATCAAGCAGATCAAAGCAGCTCTCAAGGCCGAAAAGCTAGAATACGCTTCCACCTTACTCCGCGGCCAAGATTCAGCCGTTCAGCTACTCAAGTTGGCGGGTGAGATGTACCTCCGCAGCTACCCCCTTCAAATGGAGCGAGTCACTGCTGCCTACGCGAGCGAGGCCAAAGGCGGCAAAGGCTCGGTAATTGTGGACCTGCCTCACTACTCCTGGAACTACTCTCGCCAGTTCTGGCCCGAAAGCCGTGCCAGCAAAGAACATCGTCACGCTACCCACCCGCGCCACGACGTGCTTGGCCAACTCGTGATCGGTGCCTCGCCTTTGGAGCCCACCTGGCGCAACGTACTCCGCATCCGCGACCTTCCTTGGCTTAAGGACCACTCCCTGGGTGGCGAAGCCGTCTTCCCTGCCGCAGGCTACTTCTCCATGGCCGTCGAGGCCATCACCCAGCTTAACGAGCGCAGTGGAAAACCCGTAGGCATCGACAACTACGTCCTCCGGGACGTCTCCATCAAGAAGGCTTTGGTCACGCCCGACAATGACGACGGCATCGAGGTTATTACCAACATGCGTCATTCCATCGTCTTCGGCGATGGATGGTGGGACTTCAGCGTCTCCTCCGTGGATGCAGAGGGCACCATTAAGGACCATATGGCGGGCAGCATTGGCATCAACACCACGGACAAGACACGTACCCCCCGTACGGCTCCAGAATTTACCCAACGTGCCACTGGTCGGGCGTGGAATCAGGCTCTCCGGGAGGTCGGCTTTGACTACGGCCCAACTTTCCAGGATATGGAAGATATCCGCTTTGACGGCAAGAGATACGAGGCCAGCAGTGCGACCAGCATCAAGCAGACGGTTGACGAGTCACTGGGCGAGTCGCGCCACGCGCTGCACCCTGCCGTGGTCGACTCCACCTTACAGCTAAGTATTGTGGCCATCTACGCTGGGCGCACCAACGCTATGGACTGCGGTGTGGTCCCGGTGCAGGTTGATGAGGTGACTATCTGGCCTCCGACGCCTGAGCAGCTTGCAGCTGGAAAAGCCAGTGCGTATGCTTGGGTAGACCGACGCGGTATCCGCTCCTTTGAAAACAGCGTGCAGATGACGGCTGGAAATGGCGAGATGGTCATGGAGATCGTCAACGTACGCACAACCAGCTATGAGGCGGCTGTGCCGCAGAAAGACGAGTCCGCACTGCTTCCCGCGCCGTACGGGGAAATGGCATGGCAGTATGATATCCAAGCCCTCATGGATACAGGCAAAGCCAACGAAATCAACCCCGCGGACCTTGCGAGCTTGGCTCTGTTCAAGTATCCAAGCTTGAAGGTCTTTCATGTCTGCGTCGGATCGCATGCCGCCCACTCGCTCCTTACCCAGAACCCCCGGGCGCATTGGACCTTGGCCATTATGTCTGGCGGCCAGGAAGATCTTGAAGAGGCAAAGGAGGCGCTGACCAGTTTTCCGAATGCACACGTTGTCGGACTCGATCTCTCTCTCGAGCCGGAAGAGCAAGGCCTAGCCGCTGGCTCGTACGACCTTGTTTTGGCTCGCACGGATCTCATCGACGCCAACTTGCATCGCCTGGCCAAGCCGAACGGTTTCATCATCTCCTTCGTCGGCCAAAAATCCCATATGACAAAAGTCCCGGGACCTCCTGCTGCTGGAGCTAACGGTCACTTACCGCACAATGTCCAGGTCGTCTACCGCAAGAGCCCCGGGGCTGGCGTCTCCCATGCGCAGTCCTCCCTGGAAGGTCTCGGATGGACTGTTAAACTGTCTAAGCTGGAGTCTTTCGCAGATGCCAGCAACATTGCTGCCAAGCATGTCGTCATGCTCACCGACTTTGAGGGTCCTCTTTTGTCTTCGATCACCCAGACCGAGTTCGTTGCGATTCAGAACGTCACAAACACAGCTACCTCCCTCCTATGGGTCACCAACGGTGGGCTTCTGGAGGGTGAGCAGCCGGAGCATGCCATGGTTTCTGGTCTAGCTCGTTCTGTGCGGGCTGAGCAGGCGTCACTTGACTTCAGAACCATTGATGTTGACGCAAAGTCCAGCCCGTTGGAGATTACCCGAGCTATTACCAGAGTCGCACAGCTGCAGTACTCCAAGATTGAGGAGGTGCCCGAGAACGAGTTTTGCTTGGCTGGGGGCATGACCTACATCAGTCGTCTTGTCCGCAATAATGCCCTCAACGAAAAGTTCTCAAGCTCCGCTAAGGCTCAGCTCGTCAACTACTCGCCCAAAGACAGAATCTCTGGCAAGGTGGTACATGGCAAGGTGATGTTCGAAGAGCAGGTCGCCGATCAGAATGCCATCAAGCCCAGCCATGTCGAGGTCCAAGTTCAATACAGCGGACTGACTAGGGAGAGTGTTCTAGTTGTCACTGGTTCTGATTACCCTACCACATTCAGCCACGCCATCGGCGGTGTTGTGACCAAATGCGGTGAAGGTGTCACGTCACTGAAGCCCGGTGACAAGGTGGTCGGTCTCAACGTAGACAAGTTCTCAAGCTACCAGGAGGTTCCTGCCAACATGCTCCAGAAGGTCACCAGCAATGACAGAGTCGAGAAGTTGGTAAGCCTGCTGATGCCATACGCCGCGGCCTTGTACGGACTGGATACGCTTGCGCGCGTAGCACCGAAGGAAACCATACTGGTCCTACACAACACCGGGGCTATTGGTGTCGCCGCCATCAAGGTTGCCGAAGCTCGGGGCGCTACTGCTTACATTGTTGCCAAGACGAACGAGGAAATTGACTTTCTTTCGAAGACTCTCGGCCTTCCTCAGGAGCAGATTATCCAGTCCAGCGTCTCGACTGTCTCTAGTCAGATTGAGAAACTCACCAACGGTCACGGAGCCGACATCGTCTTCAGCGCCGGCAGTGCTATCGACTCGAAGGATGCCACTGAGGCCTGGCGATGCATCGGTCGTTTCGGTCGTTTTGTTGATGCAGGTCGAAAGGATGTCCTCAGCCGTAACGCCCTTGACACGTTCCCTACCCGCCGCGGTGCTCTGTACATGCCGTTCGATATGCTGGATCTCCTTGAAGCTCGCCCGGAGGCTGTCGCCACACTCATTCCCGTCATCCTTGACATGTTCAAGAATAGCAGTATCGTGCCCCCTGGAGTGATAGAGACCGTCAACCTCGGCGATCTGGACCAGGCCGTCTCGGCTTACTCTGATGCATGTGGTGCTGTTATGCATGTCATTCGGTACACCGAGTCCCCAATTCGGATCATCCCGCGTCAGAGAGCTAAGCTTAGTTTCAGCCCAGACGTCACCTATCTCTTGGTTGGCTGTCTGGGTGGTCTCGGTCGCAGTCTGACGTCCTGGATGATGGAGTCCGGTGCTCGCCGTTTCGCCTTCCTCTCCCGCTCTGGTACCGATGCACCATCGGCAGCTAGACTTCTCCGTGACATTGAAGCAGCAGGCGCCATCGTCCAAGTTGTCCGCGGCGATGCTACTAATCGCGGTGATGTTGTTCGCGCGGTTCAGGAGATCCCGACTGCCCACCCAATCAAGGGTGTCGTTCACGCCGCCATGGTTCTGCGAGTGAGTAATATGTAAAATATGAATAGCGTCAACCACTAACGATGATCCCCAGGACGCGCTCTTCCATTCCATGACATTCGACAGCTGGAAGACCTCAGTTGAACCCAAGGTCGTTGGCGCCATGAACCTCCACTCCGTCCTTGCGAACACAGACCTTGACTTCTTCCTCATGACGTCTTCCGTCTCCGGCGTCCTTGGCACTCCTGGACAAGGCAACTACGCTGCAGCCAACAGCTATCTTGATTCGCTCGCCCGCCACCGCATGCGCCAGGGCCAGTCTGCCGTGGCTAGCGTCATCCCCATGGTACTTGGTGTTGGTGTGGTATCGGAAAACACGGAGCTTGAGGACAACCTGCGCCGCAAGGGTATGTACGGTATCGACGAAGAGCATCTTCTGCAGTCCTTCGAGGCGTCTATGGTTGCATCATCCACGAAGGAGCGCCTCGGCCTAGATCATGTTGTCATTGGGCTTGATCCCGTGCTGCTGCAAAAAGCGGTCAACGACCAGACGGCCACCGATAGCTTCTGGGTTGAGGACGTCAGGTTCAATCACGTGGTCCACGCCATGAGCTCTTCCAAGAGTGCAGCCTCTGGAGGTCATTCGCAGAACATTCTTGGCGCCATTAAGTCGGCGGCGTCGCCCGCTGATGCAGTCGGTCTGGTCACGAGCCACTTGACTGAGAAGCTGTCAAGGATGTTGCTCCTGCCCGAGGACAGTATTGATGCGCTCAGCGGGTCGATTGCGTCGTATGGTGTGGACAGTATGATTGGGGCAGAGCTGCGCAACTGGATTTTCAAGGAATATCGCCTTGACATCCCGTTTCAACAACTGCTCGCAGCCACGTTAACGATAAACAAGTTTGCGAAACAGGTTTGTGAAAGTGCGGGTGTGGTTGTTCCCTAAGTTTCTGCTCTCATACATAAAGTTTTGGCTATTTATGTCATGTCGTATCCTCAAAGGCTCTTCCACCGGTCGTTATGGTCACCCCTGATGTTCTCAACTTTTTCTTTACATGTTTTATATAATAGCCGAAGGAACAGTTAGAGAGATTCTTCTGCCTGTAACAATCACTCCTTATTGGCACGTCCTGTCCTCTTCGTCGTTAGCTATAGGAAACATGTTTCCTTAGCCTAATGTAACATCCTATTTCAGCTGTCTAACCTTGATAAACATCCTGTTGAAAATGGGTTGACAACTGGTACCTGTGCGTTAGAGTGAAGTAACCTACACAACACACTTAACTACGTAAGAGTTTACACCTAAATCCTAAATCTGCCCCTACTATTAAATCTTAATAAAGGCTTAACTAGCTATACCTAAGTAACTAGGATTAGTAATATAAAAAATATATATAGTAAGATAGCTTATATATCTTAATTTGTAGTGAAAGATTTATATAAAAGTAATTTTTAAACATTCTTATAGATATATAGCTTTATACTATTTATATATAAGTAAGTAAGCTTTAAAAACGCCTTTTAAAGTAGTAAGGTTGTTAGCATAACAGGTAATCTAGTCTCTTAGATAGAGAATAATAGCTTAAGAGAATATAAGAGAGTATTTCTCTTATATAAATATATATCCTATAGAAGCAAGAATATAAGACAATAGGGGTAGATATAATAAATAGATATAAGGATGTTAATATAAAGAGAGTATAATAGTTAGTCTTATTAATTTTTTACTAACTGTTACTTACTTAGAGAGAGAAAGATAAAAGCCTAGAAACAAGAGGAATTCTTACCCTTATATAGACCTATTTAGCTTACTAGAATATTCTACACTTACGTAAGCTGCTTATAAGTTAACTTAGTAAACATATAAGATGATAACCCTAACTAGATAACCCTAACTTAAAATAATAACCTAGATAGTTAGAGAGAGGAGTAGTAGAGCTAATCTTACTACTCTTAGAATCTTCTAGTATCTTTAGTTAATTACGTAATTATACTACTTACGTAGTTAATATGTATATTACTCTACTAAGTTAGTAGATTATAAATATATATATCTTATATATATATAACCTCTATAATAGAGGAAATATATAATAAAGAAGTATAAGAATACTAGAGATATTCTTACTTCTAATGAAAGTTTTACTAAGAGACTAATAAGATTACTTCTTAAGAGACCTTTTGTTATAAGATAAGGTAGTAAGTGCCTATAGTTAGGAGACAGACAAATAGTAGGGACTAGATACCTAATATATATATAATACGTTATATATACCCTAGGTATGTATCCCTTTAGTAAGTAACTTTTTATAGAAGAAAGGTTAACTATAAATACACCTCCTATTTATTACTTATATTATCTTATATTATTTATTTAGCTTCTTATTATTATTTATCTTACTTTACTACTTTACTATTACGCTTTACTTTTATACTATATTACCTTAAAAAGCTAGAAGTCGCTACTAAAGCCGCCTAATCCAGTAGGAAGTGTTGCCGTTTTACACAGCACAAGTAGTAAGAGTAAACTAGTTAATAAGCAGAAACTACTAGGTATTAAATACTTCTTTATCCTACTGCCTCTTACGCCTGCACCCTAGTTATAGTTATTATAGCAGTAATACTATATTAGTTAGATATATAACTATATTTCCTATTATAAGAATTTAAAGGTAAAAAGGAAAGAAATCTACCCTAGAGGGCTAGTAGTCCTGCTAGCTATTATATAGCTATCTATTCTATTTATAAGTTACCTAATAGTTCCTATAACTAGAGGTTCTTATCCCCTACCCTTTAGTAGGTCCTTTAGTGCTATAGGGTTTACTAGCTATTAGGGCATAAGTGTACTAACTACTAAGGCTTAGGGCCTTAGCTACTAAGGCGTAGTGTACTAACTATTATAGCTATAGTATACTTACTACTAAGGCGTAGTATACTAACTACTATAGCTATAGCGTACTTACTACTAAGGCGTAGTATACACTAGCTACTAAACTACGCTATAACCTTATTCTTATCTATATATCCCCTATATAACCCTTCTAGCTATAATATTACCCCCTTTTTTAGGAGCTATATTATTTATAATATATATTTAGGCTTAAGTTCTTAAAGTATATAGGATTAAATAAGGTTTTAGTAGCTATAAGTTAATTTTTTTAATTTCTTATATAAATTTTTTTTTTAGGAAATAGTTTTTTAGACTAAAACCTAGTAGAATAAGGTAAGGGCCTAAAAAGTGTTAGTAGGTCTATAGAAGGGAGAGGCTAATTAGTATAGTAAGCTAGCACTATACTAATTAGTAAATATATATAGTTATTTAAATACTACTTAGGCTTTTAATAGACTTTTTAATTAATATCTTTTTAAGTTCTTTAGGGCGTTATTATAAGGCTATACTAGTAATTTAGTGTTTATAGCTACATCCTTAAGCTATAGGCATAAGTTCTAAAGTAGGCTATTAGTATTAAGGTGTTTTTTATAAAACTTCTTTAATACTATTAGTAAATAGTAAAAGCTTTTAGTGTTATACTAAGTAAGGTCTTTATTATAGCTAACTTAATTTATATAGTATTATAATCTTTTATAGTTTATTTTAGACTATAATAAGTATACTACTTTATATTCTAGTTCTTTATCTTTAGCTATAGTTAGTAGTAAGAGGTCCTAGTACTAGCCTAGAAGTAGGTCTACTAGGGCCTTCTAGAGCTTACTAAAATAAAATACTAAGTAGGCGTTAATACCTTTAGGGAGCTAAACCTACTAGGTACTACCTAAGCCTATACTAATTATAGGCTAAGGACCTAACTAAGGGTTCTAGAGCTTATTAAGGTTATCTTTTTTCTAGTAAAAAGTGTTAATAAAGACGTTATCCCCTACCTAAATATTATCTAGCTTTTAATATTTATTTATATATTATTATTAGCGTTCTTAGGTAATTTTTATATTCCCTTAGGTAATCTCTTAGTACTTATAGATACGTTTAGCTATCCTTTAGGCCTTAGTCTAGTTAATTTTTTCTTAAGTGCTATTAAACTTTACTATTCTATAGTCCTAGTTAAAACTAAGTTATAGCGTATAGCTAAATTTAACTTTAAATAGTAATAGGCTAGTGCTCTTACTAAGGAGTATAGTATAAGTAAAATCTACTATAAGAAGTATTTTACTTTAGTTATCTTAGTAGTAATTTACTAATAGGTATAGCTATTAAAAGATATACTAGTTAAAGATCTCTATTTAACTATCTATCTATAAGTAGTTAGTAGTAAAGAGTTAAATCTTAACACTACTAATTTTTATTAGCTTATCTTAAAATTTAGAAATAAATTAAGGGCTATAGTTAAAGGTAATTATCTCTAGAAAACTAAAGAAAAGTAGTAGGCGTTTATAAAAAAAGTAGGATATATTCCTTACTATAGTAGTCTTATAATAAGGCGTTAATACTACTTACTTCCTTAAGTAGTCTACTATAACCTATACGTTATTATATCTCTTTTTATCCTTTAGGTAGGCTATAAAATCTATAGTAATATATTACTATAAGTAGTATAAAATAAGTAGTAGCCTTAGTTCTCTTAAGGGCTTATTATATAAATTATATATATAGTAATATATATAGTAGCTATATATATATTACTTAATATCTATAGTTATTTTTAGCTAGTAATATTATTTCCTAATAATCTTACTTATTTTATTTTTTTTAAGGTGTATAAGTAACTTTTAGTTATAAGCTTTCTAGATTATATAAGTATATAGGTTATTTTTAGAGGGCACTACTAGGCGCCTGTCTATAGTTAATAGGCTATTATTAGTTAGTTTTTATTATTCTTACTTTTATTAGGCTAGATCTTAAAAAGCTAATAAGGAGGGTGTAGTAGCCTCTTGTTATGCTAACAGATTTATTCTACTAGTAGGTACCCTTAAAGGTTATCCTTAAGTATTAGTATACTTACTATAATTACTTTAGGGGTAGTTCCCTTAGTTATAATAGTAGTCTTTAATAACTACTATAACTATATAGTAATTTCTAGTGTAAGTACTAAGGGAGGTAGAAGTACTTATATATAACTAGCTTCTTTTAAAGCCTTTTATATAGTAAGATCTTTTTTCTTTCTAGAGAGGGCGTCTACTAGGACGTTTTCTTTTCTAAGTTAATAGCTAATTTAAAAATTAAAGTCTACTATTAATCCTAACTATTAGGCTTAATAACTATTTAGTAGGCGTTTTATTATAAAATATAAAAGTAGCTAATAGTTAGTAATAACTTTAAAATACTATTAGTAGCTAGTAAGCTTAGCTTATTATTCTTATAGTATAAAGATAATAGTAAGAAGTTTCTTATTATAAATAGTATAGTTTATTTTTATACTACTTATAGTCTTAAAGTAAAAAGTAACTAGGTACTAAATACTATTTTCTTACTATTAAAGTATTATACTAGTATATATAAAGTCTAAGGCGTTAGTCTTAATATAAGTTAAAAGTTTAAGCTTAAAATAATAAAGCACTAAGGTAGTAGTAAAAGACTTTTTTAAGAAAGTAAAAGCCTTTTTATAGTTATTAGTTTATAAAAATAAGTAGTCCTTAGTAGTAAGTTAGGTTAAGGGGTAAGCTATATAACTATACTTAGTAATAAATTAGTAGTAAAAATTATAAAACCTTAAGAAGGATTAGACTTCCTTAATAGTTATTAAAAGCTTTTAATCTTTAATTATAGTAATCTTCTTAAGGTTAAGATAAATACTATTAGTAAAAATAATAAACCTAAAGTACTTAGTAGTAGTTACTTTAAATTTATACTTCTTAATATCTACTTATAGCCTAGCTTTATAAAGCTAGGTAAAGATCTTTTTAATATACTTTTAGTGCTATAAAGGGTCTTTAGAGAAAATTAGAATATTATCTAAGTAAGTAGTATAGAAGTTATTAAGATACTTTATTAAG